GGGCCGGGGTCAGGGGGGGAAAAGGGGTGGGAGGAGGGGTGGGCGGGAGGAGATCTGAGGGGGGCTGGGCCCCTCTATCCGGCAGAGCGCTCAGCAGGGCAGGGGTCTGAGAGGCAGGGCCCCAGCAGCCCCCACAGGGCCTGCACCCTGCGCGGAGGTCCCTGGGCCCAGCTGAGCTTGTCCGCCTCCCTACGCCATCCTGTAAGGGGCCGGCCTGCTGCTGCCCCCAACACACCACCGATGGCCCCCTGCATGACCCTGCACCTGTCCAGGTGACAACAGGGCTGTCCTCCACAGGTGGGATGCGAGCCTTTGCTCCTCCGTGGCCCTGCGGATCTGACGGAGAAGCTGCAGTCTTCAAATGCCACCTGCTCAGTCCCACCGCGTGTGCCTACAGGCCCCCGCCGCCATCCCCCCACTCCGGCCCGGTGCCCTCCATTCACTCCCCAGGCTTTGGGGACGGTTCACGGGAGGAATGGTGGTGGCATCGAGGGACTCTGGGCCGGCCGTGGGGCCGCCACCTCCCAGGCTGTGAGGAGCCTGGCTCGTGACCCGACACCCCAGCACGCCTGCAGACCCCACCCTCCCCACACGCCGTGACAGGAAGATGCTGGCCGTGCTGCCTACACACCTCCCACTGCCCTGGGAGGACCCCCAGGGCAGGCGGGCAGGCACACATCTCCCGGCCACCGAGACGGGGGCACACACACCCCTGACCTCTCAGGACCAGAGCTGAGACTTTCTCTGACACTTTTGTGGAAGTCACCCTTTTCTCTCAGAACCTGAAGGCACAGGGATGGACAGTCTGGACCTGCCGCAGCGCAGCCGCCACCCGGAGGGTTAGAGCCACCCCAAGAGGCAGAAACCCCGGAGCCAAGTTCCGATGGCACTGGCCGACCCCTAGACCAAGCTGTGCCTGCAGCCAGCCCAACGGTGTGAGCCAACCCACGTCCCTTTTCTCTCCAGTCCAACTGGGCTGGAATTCTGTCACTCACAACCAGAGGTCCTGACGCAGGAACAGACACAAAATCCCGCTCCTGCCTCTGAAATGAGGCCACACACCGTATGTCATTGGTGAGATGTGCCTGGGAGACAGAGGCTCTGGGTCGAGCCTCCCACGGCTCGCGAGCAGCACGGTGCATGCATGTCCCAGCGCTGAGCAGGCCCAGATGCCCGCGACCTCCCCCCCCGCCACGTGGGGGACCATCAGCAGACGGGAAGGCCGCTCTCTGGAGGGCACAGTGACTGAATCAAGGCCACACGCCAGCCCCGGGCCACTGCGAGGGCTCGGGAGGAGAGGGACACGGAGCAGCCTGCGGTGCAGGAGCGGGGGCTGCATGCTGACCCCCTCCCCGGCCTCACAGCCCAGGAACCTGGGGACCAGCTGCTCCCTTAGAGGGATAAAGCGGCCACCCCTGCGGACAGAGCCACCTCCATCTGATCACCCCCTGGTGCTAAGAGCTCCGGGGGCCTGGCCCACCAGACTTTGGGGCTGCCTCCACCCTCTGCCCCCAACCTGGGCCCCAGGCCTGTCCACACCCCTCTTGCCTGCCCCACAGGCTGTCCCAGAGCGGAGGCGCCGCCCCAACCAGCTGCAGCCGGCGGGTCCCCCCGGGCCCCCATCCCAGGTCAGGGCTGATCTGTGAGCAGCCGCGGGGACCCTGGGTGCCAGGTCAGAACCCTCAGGGAGTCGTCCAGCTTCCTAATGACCCTGCTCCAGCTCAGGGGGCGGTGGACCGAGAGACAGACACAGAGACAGCGCAGGCGGACAGACGGACAACGTGCACCCTCACCTGCGGAGTACGGCTCCTGCCTCTCGGGGTGGGTGAACTCCTGCCGTTCGTACTTGGCCCGGATCCACTGCTCCCGCAGGAGCCTGGAGAGAGACGAGAGAGGGGTCGGGACAGTCCCAGCCTGACTGCAGGGCTGCGAGACCTGTAAGAGCTGCCCCTGGACGTGGTGGGGACACGCAGAAGGCAGGGCTGAAGGGCCACCAGCTTTGAATTTTTAAATGCTTACTAATCAGTCTCACCGCCTCACGCACCCCTGCTGCCTTGTTGGCTGCTGTGGCAAGAGTCCCGTCCCCAGAGGCCACCTCAGCCTGCACTTCTGCCTCTGACGCACAGAAACTTGAATGGTGCCCGCAGAGGTGTGCACCCCGCCGCCCTTCAGAGAGGCTGTCCGTCCTGGGACCGCGCAGGGGGCGGGGGCGGCCCGGCTCGTCCCCCAGCCTGCAGTTTCCTCCACCTCCAGTCAGTTACACAGAACAGAACAAACAGGGGGCCTCTGGCTTTTTGCTGGGCCTCAAAGCCAGCTCCCCCGCCTGCAGCTGCACCCTCGGCTGGGCCTGGGGCGCCCCGGTCCTGCGGCTCTGCATGCGGGTCCCGGGGCTGCCAGGACAAACGGCCCTAAACCAGGCATCCTAAGATAACAGAGATCCGTGCTCCCAGGGTCTGGTGGCCAGACCTCTGAGTCCAGGTGCTGCAGGGCTGGTTCCTCCTGGACAGCCTGGAAGAGGCTGCTCCCGGCCTCCAGCCGCCAGGGAGCAGTTCCTGGGGCGTGGCCACACCCCCTCTGTCTGCATCTGTCTTCAGGAAGCCTCCCCCCCAGCATCCCCCGCTCCTCTCTTATGAGGACACCGGCCACTGGATTGCACGCCCACCCCAACCCAGTGTGATCTAATTCGAGACCCTTCCCTTCCTCTGCAAAGACCTCGCTTCCAAATAGAGGCCCCTCGTGGGTCCTGGGGTCAGGACGTGGCCTGTCCTTTGGAGGACGCCACCCAGCCCCCACAGGGGCCGAGCTGCGTGACGCTGGGGGCTCGGGCCCCGCCTGCAGCCGCCCCTCCTCTGTAACAGGAGGACTGCACACCTGGCCTCTCAGAGCTGCGGGGCCCTGGAGCCCAGCCTGAGATGCAGCCACATCCGCCCACAGCCATGCTGTGGGCTTGTCCCCACCCCATTGGGTAGGGGACCCATGAGGTCCCTGGCCACTGCCTTGGCAAGGACACTGGCCCCAGGGCTCACGCCCACACATAGGGGTTTCCAGGGCCTGGCATGGAGGCTTCCAGAAGCAGCAGCAGGAAGCCCTGGCTGCAGGCACTGGCAGGGGGAGTCCCCACCCTGCTCAGCAGAGCTGGCCCGAATCGCTCGGTCACCCGGGGCCACGCCCGAGACAGCCAAGGAGCCTGGGCTGGCCCTGCCACACAAGGGGCCCTGGCCTCCCGAGACCCCTGGCCCAGCCTCCTTCATCAGGGGAAACTGACGTTGAAGGGGGTGACCACAACACCCCAAGCTATGACCACAGAGATGATCTGGGGGGCCTGCCACCCGGGATGGGTCCTGTTTCAGGGGAGCCAGGTTTCTCAGCCCTGGGCCCTCGGGCTCAAGTTGGGCACTGCAAGCTGGGACGTGTGCTGGACGGGTGCCCGGGCGCGGCCGACCCCCTCCTCCACGTGTGGCCCGCCTCCCAGGCTGCCCTCCACCGTGCACCCGGCCCCACGTCGGGGGGCCACGCCTGCCGAGATGACCAGTGGATGACTAGCCGGCCAGCGAGCCGCCTCCTGGCTCACCTGCCTGCCGTCCGGCGTCTGACTGCAGTTCCCAACACTGTCCCCACCTGGTGGTCAGCCCCGAGTCATGGGTTCTAGGACACCCTGCCTGGAGATCGGGGGCTGGGCTTTGCCCCTGGGGAGGTGACCTCCTCGGCTCGGCCTCCCCTTCTGCCTGGTGAGCAGGTCATTCAGACGGCCCCCAGGGAAACAGAGTGCAGACTCCACCCTTGTGCCAGCCCCCAGACCCACGTCCTGGCCTCCATCTGCCCCGCCTCGAGCAAACCCAGACCCCCATCATCTCACCTGCGGACTTCTGAGGCTGTTACGGGTCAAGCTGTGTCCCCGCCCCCCAGAAACGTCTGCTGTGGTCCTAACCTGCGAGACCTCAGGTGCACCCTTGTCTGGAAACAGGACGGTGCAGGTCCGTGAGTTAAGACGAGGTCGTCCTAGAGCAGGGTGGGCCCTAGCCAGTCTGACCAGTGCCCTTGTGCAAAGGGGACACCTGGATACTGCCACGGACGACCGCAAGAGGACACAGGGAGAAGTCGGCCTCAGGAGGGCCCACCCTGCACACTGTGTTCCCAGCTGCTGGCCCAGACTGGAGACCCTGAATTTTTGCTGTCTCAGCTGCCGGCCTGGAAGCTCGCACAGAGCCCTCTTCAACAGGGACTCTGCCCGCTGGGGCCCCGGGGCCTGGGCTCTGGGACTTCTGCTGCTGCCAAGAGAGGGGCACCCACAGGGGCCTGCTGCCAGGAAGGCACACAGGAAGCAGAGGGGGCCGGCCTCCATCAGAGGTCAAGCTGAGGGGAGCCGGCACCACCTCCCGCCCTACGTCAGGGTCGAACGTTGGCACCGGGTGACACAGGAAGGGGCTTGGGGCCTGGCCTCCGAGTCTCGGGCCTGGAGGGCTCCAAGCTCCAGACGTGGGCGGGGGACTGCCCTGTCCAGAGCACTCGCTCTGGGCCACTCTCTGGCCCCTGACTCTGCACCTCATTTCATCCTCATGACGCCCGCGTCATAGCAGGGAAACTGAGGCCGCCAGGCTTTGCCCCAGGGAGGCTGCTGAGCCCCTGTCCTACGTGTGCACAGCTGAGAGGCTGCACCCGCACCCCGCCTCTGTGGCTGCGCGTCAGCCCCGCCCCTCCCTGGTCTCAGGCTGCCTGGTTAGGTTTCCCTGTTGCTGCCTGCCCAGCAAGGAGCTTCCCCCAGGACCCCCCTGCCCTGCATCCTCACCCTCCGGGGCCCTGCCGCTTGTCCCAGGCAGACCTGCCTGACCTGAGCACCTACTGCATGTGGGGACGCAGCGGGCTTGGCTCCTGTGAGCCTGCACCCAGTGGAAGCTTCTGGAAGGCGGGGCCTGCTTGGGCTTCAGAGCGCACTCCCACGGCACAGGGGTGCCTGGTCACCCCGGAGGCCCTGACCGCACTGCCTGCACGGGACAGGGCAGTGTCCGTGAGTACTCTGCGGGGACCAGGACGCAGAGGAGCCAGCCGAGCGCCTAGCAGGACACAGCCTGTGGCCGGCCTGCCCCTCACCACACGCTCAGACAGGCGGGGAGGCATACATGCGAACGGCCCAGACCACAGAGCAGCCTGCGGTGGCGGTAAAGTCATGTCTCAGGAGCAGCTGCCACCTTGCTGATTCATACCGAGCGGGCTGGCGGGCGGGGCGCCGACTTCCCTGAGAGCCCAGGACAAGCGGCCAGGCCGCCTCAGGATGTACAGGTGGTCCGCAGGCCTGCCCGTGAGGGGTGAAGGGCAGACACAGCGTGTAGGAGCTGAGGCCAGCCTCGGTCTCCCCGCCTGTGGAGTGGGGTCCGAACTGGCCTGCCTCCCAGGCAGCTCACAGAGAAGACACCCAAGGCCCGCGCCGATGCGGGTACGTGGCGAGCGTGAGCTGTGGGGGCAACACGCAAGGAAGGCCCCGGCATCACCTGGTGCCTGGACGCGCCTCTCAGCCCTTCCCCCTGCGGCAGCCGGGCCAGGACAGCGGCCTCCCTCTCCCCACCCCCGGCTCTAGCAGAACTGGAAGCGCACAAGCCTGCACAAAGCCAGGGTCCAGGTGCCGCTGGGCAGACTCCCCGGGGTGTGGAGTTGACAGAGTGAGTCGGGAGGAGGCAGGGCCGAGCGAACAGAAGTGAGGTGCTGTGGGGGCGGGGGCCCGGGGGCGCAGGGCCAGCCAGCTCCTCGCCCCAGAGACCACAACCACGGTGCATCCCTGGCTGGGGAGGAAGGTGGGCTGGATCCTTACGCTCCTGATGCACAAAGGGGAAGTGCTGGGAGGAGCCCTCAGAAGGGAGGGGCTGCGGGAAGGTGCTCGGGCCCTTCACCTCCAGCCACCACAGAGCCAGCTGAGGGGGGCCACGCGGGCACGTCCTGCTCTGGGGGCACGGGGGTTGCGGGTGGAGATGCCGGGGACGGGCTGGGGGGCTGATCCAGGGAAATTTGGAGGTGCTGAGGGAGGAGACAGACACTGGGGGTGCTCAGTGGGGAATCCAGGAGCCCCCGGGAAGGATGCGGAGACGCCTGGTGGGCACGTCCCCGCCACTGCTGAGCCCGACACCGGCAGCCACCCCCCCAGGCTGGGGTCCAAGCCTCGCCCCAGGTGCCACCCCGACTTCCAGAACCTCTGGACTTGTGCAGGGTGCCACCCTGCCCTGGGCGCCAGGAAGAGAGACTCCAGCCATCCGTCCCCTCCTCCTGAGGAGCCCAGGGGCCTGAGGAGGAAAAGGGTCTGCACCCGTCCCGGCCCTGAGAGGCCCGAGGAGGAACGGAGGGTGAGGGAGGGGTCCTCATGGGGAGGAGGCGGCAAAACGGAGCCAGGCTGGGGTCCGGGGGCGTCAGGGGGCCCAGGGCTGAGATGTGAGTGGGGGTACTGAGGGCCGAGCAAGAGCACGTGGGCAGAAGAGCCCGGGGACATGCCGGGGGTGGGGGGCACGGGGGGCACGGGGGGCAGGCCGTCCAGCCTGGATGAGGAGACGCCCAGAGAGGGCTGGGAGTGGGAACCCAGTGGACCGCAGCGCCACTGTCACCAGGCGATGCCCACGGGGTGGGGAGACGCGGACCCTGAGGCCCAAAACGGCTGGCCACCGACGCTGGGGTCACATGGGAGAGGGGACCCAGACCGCCCCGCAGAGCCAGGGTGGGCCGCACACAGCAGCGGCTCCCAGCACCCTCCTCCCAGACGGCCTGAGCCACCCACACCCAGCCCCCCGGGGACCCCCACTGCCCGGGGGACCCGGGGGCTGGAGCTGCTCCCTGCAGAACGTCTGCTCCCACCCTCTCTGCAGCCACCACCCACCACACCAAGAACCACGGCCAAGCGGGAGCTCACGGGGTCCACGCTCCCCGGCTCCCTGGGCGGGTGCCTCTCCAGGCCTGCCTGCAGGTCACCCCGAGCTGTCTCCGAGTGCGCAGGCTGTTTACCAGCGCTCCTGACAAAACCCCATTGTTACTCACTGGCAGTCGGAGGCCGAGGGCCGGTAGTAGAAGGGGGGCACTTTGGACTGGAACATGGCTCTGGCGACGGCGTTCCCACGGGAGGCCATGAACTGCGGAGAGAGGAGGGTCAGGGGCCTGGAGCCCGGGGCCGGCAGATCCCAGACCCCACGGCTTGGCTTGGCCACCTGGACAGGAACCCCTACCCATGTGAGCCGTTCCCCAGCAGGTGGACCGGCCGGCGTCTGTCCAGAAAGGGTCCCTCCTCGGGAGGGCATCTGGGCTCCACTGACCCGCATTTAGGGAACAGGTGATGTGTGCCAGGCACGGGGAGGCCCAGACCAGCCTGGACGACACTCAGCCCCAGAGGGCAGGCAGGCTGCAGAGGTGGGGGATGGGGTTGCCAGCTGTGACCCTTGGGGGTGCGGGGGGTGGGAAGCCTCTGGAGGAGCTGGCGGGGTGGGGTGTGGCAAGGGAGTCCCAGGAAATAGCACGTGCAAAGGCCCTGAGGTGCGTCGTGCTGGGCATGTGGGAAAAGGCGCCCTGGCTGGTGTGCTGACAGTGTGCAGGGGGCGGCAGGGCCTGACCACAGGGGCCTCGGAGACAGGAAGCAGGGTGGCTTCCTTGTGCTCTGACCCTTCCCTCTAAAGTCACTGCACTTTGAGGACCATGAGATGGTGGCCATGGCGGACCCAGAGGACCGACTGGGAAAAGCCACAAACAATACGACGCTTCAGCAAAAGGCTGGTACCAACTTAGAATTCTAAAGCAACGGCTTTCGCACACAGAACGCCAGTCTGCTCAGAGGAAAGGCCCCCTGACAGAGCAATGGACAGCACGCCTAAGATCCGCCTAGTGAGAGGTGCTCGGCGTCCACGCAGGAACCGCTCCGTGCTCCTGAGGGAAGCACAAGAAACTGGACAAAGACCGGCCACGTTCCTGCGTAGGGAGATGTCCCCTTATGTTTGTTTATTTTCAGCAGTTCTCAAAAAGGAAAACCAGGAATAGAATTTTTTTAAGCTAGCAATGATTCTAAAGTTCACTTTAAAATTAACAAGCAAAAACATCCCGGAAAATTCTGAAAATGAAGACCCTTCCTACCGGATCTTAAAACCTGTTACGATGCTGCTATGAACAGAGCAGGTACTGCCCAGAGAGCCTGGCTCCGCGGGCCGACTCAGCGGGCCTCACAGGACCCAGCGTCCAGTGCCACCCACCCAGACGTGCGCGGGTGAGCCAGCTGGTGGACAGTGGCGGTGACAGCTCAGACGGGGGGACGTGTCCACTGGCCGGCGGCCAGCAGGAAGCGGGAAACCACCGGAGAAGGGGAGGAGCTGGGTGCTCGTTCCAGCAAGGAAACCACCGGAGAAGGGGAGGAGCTGGGTGCTCGTTCCAGCAAGCAAACTCCGACTGGACCAGAGACTCAGTTTCCAAAGCTAAACAATGAACGTGGTAGACGAAAGTCACAGGACAATTCCTAAAGCAACCTTGGGAGACTGCAGGCCGAAGCCTTACGACTTTGGGTGACGACGGCTTCTTGGGCAGCACACCAGAAGGGGCGGTGACCGCCAACGGGGACGGGGCCTCCCGAGGCGAGACTCGTGCCCTGGAACCAGAGGGGACGGTGCGCAACGCCGTGAACATGTGTTCTGTGTTTACTTACTTTTTCCCTGCAGCGTGGCGGACCCGCAGCACGGGGCTCAGGTGAATGACGTGGCGGCTCGAAGTCACGCAGTGACCTCGCGGCCAGCCCAGTCACTGCGAGCCGAGCCCCGCACACAGCCCCGTCCCCGGACTCACCCCCGGGCGCCCGGAGCCTGTGCCTCCGTCTCCCTCACCTGCGTCTCCAGTGCCCGTCCCCCTGCCCTCTGCAAGCACCTGTTTGTTGTCTGTTTCTGTGAGTCTGTTTTTCACGTCGTTTTGTTTTGTTTCAGAATCCACACGTAAGGGCCCTGCAGTCTCGTCTCTCTCATCTGACAGATTCCATTTGGCACAGTGCCCTCTAGGTCCACCCACGCTGTCGCAAAGGGCCAGATTTTGCTTTGAAATGGCTGAATAATGTTCCTCTGCATACGACGCAGACACCCAGGGGAGGGCGCTCCGTGTCTCTGCACCCTGGCTGCTGTAAGCAATTCTGCAGTCAGCACAGGGTGCACATATCTTTTTGATTAAAAATACTCTGGTAAACACCCGGAAGTGCAGTTGCTGGCCCTTACGGAGGCTCTGTTTTTCATTTTTAGAGGATCCTCCGTACCGTCTCCCACTGTGGCTGCACCGATTCACACTCCCAGCAGCAGACGTCCGGTGACATCTCATCGTGGTTCTGGTTAACGCCCTGACGATCCGTGGTGTCGAGCGTCTTTTCAGGGCCTGTGGGCCATTTGTGTGTCGTGTCTGCTCTGGGAAAATGTCTGTTCAGGTCCTCTGCCCACTCTGAACCTGATTTTCCTCCTTGAATGCTCAGTTGCATGGGTTCTTGGTGCGCCGCGGCGCCGACCCTTCGCCAGACGCACCGTCCGCACGCTCCCCCGCCCGCTCGGCGGGGCCTTGCCTTTCTGCTGCTGACGCCCCTCTCTGTGCAGAAGCCTTTCAGCCTGACGTGACCCTGCCTGTCTGCTGTCGCTTTTGTTGCTGCTGCCCGAGGAGACAGGTCCAGAAGGACGCCGCGGACGCTGACGTCAGAGAGCTCACAGCGTGTTTCCTTCCAGGAGGCTTATGGTTTCAGGTCTCGCGTTCAGGTCTTTAACCCGCTTTGAGCTCATTTTATTTTGCTGGTGCGAGAAGGTGGCCCAGCCTGACTCCCGTGCGTGCACCCGTCCGGTCTCCCGACTCCGTTTACTGCGGAGACTCTTCCTCGTTGTGCATTCTCGCCTCTGGCTTGTTCACTTTAACATGGTGACTTCTGTTACATGAGTTTTATCTCAGTAATTAAAACATTGCAAAGCTCCTTAAGAATGCAAACTGCGTTTGGGGGCATTTTTAGGGCAAGAAAGGCAAAAGACAACCCGAAGAATGAGAACAGCCACTCGCGAGTGCTGACAAGGGACTTGCGTCCAGAGCATAAAAAGAGCCTGGAAAATGAAAACTCCTCACTTGAAAAGACAAAGACGCCCATTTTCCAATGGGTGGAGGATGGGAATGGACACATCTCCAAAGCGGACGTACAGACCGCCAGGACGCCCACGAAAAGACGCTCAGCACCACTGGCCACAAGGGGGTGCAAACCAGACCCCGGACCCGGCGCCCTCCGGGAGGGCCAGCACCAGACAGGCAGCTGCAAGCGTCGGCGAGGACGTGCGGACACGGGGCTCTCCGGGCTTCACCGGCGGGAGGGGCGGCTGGCGTGGAAGAGCTCAGCAGACTCGCAGATGTCAAACACGGAGCTCCCACAGAGCCGGCACTCCCGCTCGCAGGTGCCCACGGTGAACGCGCCCATGAGGGCCCTCACAGCCCTGCTCACGGCGCTGGGGACACAAGACAGCCCGGCGCCCGCCAGCTTGCGAGCAGACACGGTGCGGCCCAGGCACACGAGGGACAGGGCTCAGCCACGAAAGGGACGGAGCGTGTGCGAGTCCTGACAGCACGACGCCCCATGAACAGAGGTCGCAGAAGCACAGGTGCATGACCCCACGGACGCACAGCGTGTAGAACTGGGAAGCCCGTCGGGACACGAAGCAGATGTGCCGACTCCGCGGGGCTGGGGCGGCGGCCGGGAGAGGCTGCCAGTGGGCGTGGGGCTTATTCCGGGACATGAAAATACTCAGAAACTTGACCGTGTTGGAGGCCGCACGGCCTGTGACTACGTGAAAACCCCTGCCTTATGTACTTTAAAGGGTGAGGTGTGCGGCGTGTGAGTTACAGAAATAAAGCTGTTCTGAGTAAAAACAACCCTAGGGGTGGGCAGGCCTGTCTCGGTGAGCTGCAGGCCCTAAGCCACAAAGGCAAAGCTGACACATTTGACTACTTCAAAGTGAAAACCTTTCCACTGCAAACCCACCATGATCAGAATCAGAAGGCACGTCACCTAGAGACGCCGCCTTCACTCAGCGTCCCCGAGGGCCCAGTTCCCCGACGCAGAGCCCTCGGGGGGCAGGAGCGGCTGACAGCCCAGCAACAGCCAGGCGGCCAAGGGTTCAGGCGGAGGGCTCGCAGAGGGGCTGAGATGCCGCACTAGGCGCCGGATGCCTCTCGAGACAGGAAAACGCAGTGAACCCTTGACCCGGAAGTTTGAGTCGGCTCCGCGGGCGAAGGACGGACACAGGGAGGCAGCTGGGCGGGAGCGTGGGGGAGGCACAGACGGAGTGACGGGGGCCCCTGGACCCCCTTCTAGGAACGCAGGCTCCCGTGACCCCCCCTTGCAGGCGATGCTGCATCTGAGGCCGCTCACTGTCTCGGGGGTCACGGTGGGAAGACCCCTGTGTGTGGCCCAAGGGGCTAGAGAGAGAGACCGGGACCCTCCACCCGGGATCCCGGAGCGGCACTCGTGTTCCTGTGAAGCACGCGCAGCCGGGGGTGGGGGCATCCCTGCGGCCTCCCGGGGGGGCTCCCGCAGCCACGCCTTCAGAGCTGGGTGATCAGAGCACGTGGCGGCGGTGTGCAGCCCAGCGTCCGCCCGCTGATGGACGTGGTCTGTCGGCAGGGGACGTTCTGGGCCTTCGTACCAGGTGGGGGGCTGGCACAGGTGACGGCGCAGGCGGACCTGAAGGGCGATGCTCCGTCAGCAAAGGAGCCGGACACGAAAGCCCTCGCCCTCAGCACCGCCCCCACTCGTGGTCAGATCCGACTCGGGGGCCCATGCGTGGCGGCCTCGGCCTGGGGCGGCGTGGCAGCTGCGGGCTGGGGTTCTTTCTCAAGTGACAAAAATGTTCTAAAATTGACTGTGGTGACGGTTGCACAACGCGGCGAACGCACCAGAAGCTGCTGAACTGTGCTGCAGTGGGTGAGCTGGCTGGTCGGCGTGTGAGCTGTATCTCAGCAAAGCTTTTTAAAGAAGATGTTACAGAAGAATAGAACTTCGGGGAAAAACCATGAAAAGAAACAGAAAGAAAGACAGAAAGAAGTCCCTGGTGCCTGGACCCACAGTCAGGGCTGAGCTGGGGGAGGCGGGCGTGTTTATGCCCCAGGCTTCCCGGCTGACCGGATGCCTGGGCCTCGGGGCGGATTGAGGGCAGCCCGGAGCCCAGGGGCCGTGGCAGACCCCTTCCCCCCGACCCAGCCTCTCCCTTGGGTGGGGATCTTCAGGCCAGGCCCCTCCAGCCCCTGGAGATGGCCCTCTGTGTAGTGACCAGGCGGATGTGCAGAGGACACAAAGGAAATGAAGGGCCCGC